TGCTCTTTAAGCAAATCTTCACCCTGTCTCAGGAAGATGTAGGTGGAATACCAACAAGTTTTGTACCAAAAGGTGGCCAGCATTGCCTCTCGCCACCTGCAGAAACATTTATGGTGGAAGGTTCACACTGGCCGCTTGGAAACAAGTTGTAGGAGTCCTGAGTCGTAAACATATCTCGCATTATTGTCCTGCGTTCATTTGAACTCTCATCCATTGACCATAAACGTCATGTACCATTCGTTCCACAGCTTGATTGAAGCAATGCAAACTATTTCTTGTAACAAAAGATTTCTTACGTATATATATATTTTTTCTTCTTAATGTAATACTTTTTATGAAAGTGATTGTGTTTGTGTAATGGACGGGAAACAACTTATCAATAGCCCTTGGTGAACCTTTCATACTATGTGTATTCTTGTGAGAAAAGTGTTTTTTAAAAGAAGTCTTATATGTATCTGAATTATTTGTACAGGATTGTTCTTCTAGGTTTTCTTAAAACGTTTCAATTATCTTTTGCAGCTCTGTCACAAGCAAATCGTAAGTACATGTTTCACCTTTCGGTAAAAAAAGCAAACATACATTATCCTCCAACAAAATCAATTTTAAAATGAAATCTGGTCTTATGACTCTTTACACCTCAACTTTCATTTTTCAAATAAAGGTTTGCGGAGAATAATGTTTCATTTTATTTCAATAGGTATTTGTGTTATACAATATACTTAAAACTCTAATATATCACTAAATTTATATTTTCATTTCAGATTTAACAAGAAACAGAACAGTTAGTAAGTTTTTATCCAATCAAAATTTCTTAAGGTTCATCAATACTCTAAGGGGAATAACTCTTAGTGAGATAAATGTGTACTATTCTTATAAATTTGTCAAGTTGAAATGTTTCATTTCTCAAATTTTGTCCCGCAAACTATGCTTAAATTGTGAAAATACTGAATTCTACTTATAAAATACATATCTTTTGGAAAATAACAAGCATTAAAGCAACATATTATATGTGAACAGGGGGCTTATGAACATTAAAAAGAAACATTTGTATGTTTCTAAATTCAAAATTGACCTTATAATAGTACAAAATATTTCGAAATTTGCAGCGCGAGATCAACTATTACGTAGAAGAACATTAATCACAGGGAGAACAAATGGTAACAGTGCCATCCAAAGAGGCCGAGGGAATCTGAATGGAAGAGCGGGATCAACAGGAACTCTGACAGGAACTGTCGGAACACCTCGGGCAGGTCTCCCAGGAGCAACTGCGGCCTCTCAGAGGGAAATTGACAGAGTCATTCTTACCCCAGTGCAAGATGGTGCCGTTCGATCTCTTAGGAATCTTTTAAGTACTAGAAGAGGTCGAGGGAATCCGAGGCTCATTGGTAAACTCTTCAACAACTGTCGCCATATGTTGAAGTTTACTTGCATATTTTGTATTGATTTTAATAAAAACGTAGTTATCTTTAGGGGAAGTGTCTTAATTATATATAATTCTAATGAAATTAAATTTGCTTTACTTCAGGATTTCTCATCCCAAGAGCAGACGGTAGAACTCAGTTGAGATTGATGAGAGGCAAGTTCAAAGGAGTTAATTAGAAAAGCCAGTTGCAATAGTCTTCATATTATGTAGAGCTTTTTTATCATGTAGAACTTGCTTTATATAACTTTAGAGTATCTGTGGTTGGCTCACCAGTTTTGACATTGTCAAACGCACATGCCTCTACACATACCAAAATGAATAAAGTACAAATACTTTGACTTTCATGTTTAAGGTTTAGAATTAAATGATATAAAAGTTGTAAATGTGCTTTATGATTTTTACATCGTAGCCATAAAATATACATTGTGACCATAAATGTACTTGATATATTCAATCACAGATGCTTTCATTTTAGAATAATATAACCATAGGAATTTTATAGCCAAGTAATCAATATCTAGTGTAGCTATAATGTAGTTACTTAGATGTAGCTGCTATGAAACGTTGTAATGATTCAAAGCTATGGTAGGACTTATAGCGTCTTAGATTATGCTAGCGAAAGTTGACCGCTCCACAATATATTAAAATGTGCTTATTACATTAACACTAAAATTTCTATTCTAGGAGCTGAACGATTCTTAAGAAATGGCCGAGGAGGTAATCTTGTTGCACGGGAGTTGACTTTAAGCATGAAAAGACGCTTCATGATCATTAATTAGAATATCCCAATTAATCAATACTGTGTTTAAATGCACTTAATTTGAGTATAAAACAACAGTATTTTCAAATTTAAAAATGATGTCGGGCACAGCAATCCGGAAAAAAATATGAATTCTATTTTTTCATAAAGTATCTCTGTAGAATTTTTTCATAAAGTCTGTCTGTAGAATTCAGCTATTATAGACAATGAAAACATCAGTCTCATAAAAACACTAAGCAATTTACATGAAAACGATTTTGATGTTGCCATCAAAAAATCTGAGCAGTATCCCCAGTACTAGTGTACTTTGATATATACACCCTTTTTATGGTCATCCAGCGTCTGTTTTAAGGTGATTAATTTGCAGCTAATAGCTCATCCAGACGTCGTTTTATGACTTGTCTCCCTCTGCATTGTTGGAATGTTATTAAACATTGATTGTTAGAAAATTACGAGTATATACAGCATCGCCACTGGAAGGCTGAAGAAAATCAGAAGATTAAAGTGGTTTTTATGTACTTGTATCAATAAGCATTTTAATTCCTTAAAAAGTACAAATGCAAAGTCTATATTTTCAGATTCGTGGTAAAATGTCTTCTTCTTCTTTTTTTAAAAATCATGTTTATTTTATTTTTTGATTGAATTAATTTTAATCTAATACATCGTCCCTTTATCTTAAAATAAAGAATAAAAGTGGCAATTTATTTTCAAAATCTGTGATCAAAAAGGAAATATAATTACACAAATATTGTTTACGTTGATATCAAAGTTAGGGGAAATTTGAGTTTTCATGCTAAAATATCAAAATCATGTGATTTTGAATACAGTATGGTAATAATATTTTAAAGCAATGCTTTAATACGTTATTGACATACTCATTCTTCTTTTTGCAGACAACCGAGGTAATCGCGTGAGTATGAATGAGCTGCCTTTTAACATCAGGACCATTGTTGCAGCAGCAAGGCGTGCCAATCTTCTTCCTTCCAGAAACGGAACTAGAGGTAAATAACGCGAAGAACCAAAACCAACAGAGTTTGTTTTTTTTTTCAGTTTTATTTCTTTTTTAAAAATACTTCTCTGAACCTTTTTGGGAAAAAAAGAATGAGATAGTCCTCATTAGTATTCTAACTCCAAATCTTTAGGACTTTATATGTAAAAGATGTAAAATATATAAAATATAATAATAATATATAAAATATGTAAAAGATGCTAAACTTGGAGAATCATTATGTATCTTTGCTTTTAGGGAAAAGTAAATATACTGTAGATAAATACTGTACATACTAAGGCATATACTTTAGTATATGTATATTAGTAAATGAATACATAAATAAATGATGAATAGTTATAATTCTTTCACATCACTATTCAGGTTCCGTTAAATTTGATCAGTTCCCAAACACAATACAATTTAACGACATCCTATATAAGATAAAGAGTAAACGTTTTTGTAACGTTTCTGTTTATCTGTTTAGTAAGGAATAGAACTCCTCCAATAGTTGTTCTCCGATCTCCCAACAGAGGTAAGGCGCGGTTTACAGGTTGTATATTATGGGAAAATGTTGAATATATATACACAAGCATTTGGGTGAAGTAAAATATATACCCATCTGTGTAATGACATTTTTGTATTTTTAAAAAGTTTAATATGAATGTCATGTTCAATTACTAAAAACTTAAGTTATTGTTTTTTTAAATAAACCTGTAGCCAAAAATGTTTAAAAAGTTTTTTTTTTTATTACTTGTAGTTAGGTAATAAAATATAACCATATATTTAACACACAGTTTACATTAGTACTAAAACAGAGCGTCTATGTGTTCTGTATTGATGCATGGATTGCTCAGAAAATATATATCATTAATAGAACTTTTTGGGGGTTTTAAATAAGTATTATACAGATAACAATTTACTTGCAATTTGAACTGAGTACGAATTCTTATATGGCTAAAATATTGAAAATATTGTGGGTTTCAGTATATTTCTCTAGACATATATGCATGCTTAAACAAATATTTTAAAGTTGCAATACGCTTCATATTCAAATATTTGCATGCAAGCATGTATTGGCTGGAACTGGTCTTTTAAAAATGGTTTCAGAATTTTTGAGCACGAATACATGGATAAATAAACGACAGAAGATTAAAAAAAATTATTTTGGTTGTCTCAAGCACTTAAGAAATAAACGATTCATCCATTTGATAGGTCTACTCAATTTATTTTTTCAGGATTTCAACAGTCCAGAAGAATAGCAACAGTCGGAGGTTTGGGAAGGGGACAAAACGGAAATCCAGATACACAAGGAAATTCTGAACCAGATGCTGGAGGAGAGACTATTAAGCAAAGGACTGTGAACATCGAAGTCAATGTACAAAGTCCAGACACACCTACGCCAAGTCCCACGCCTCAAAACCCGAACCCAACAGCCACAAACCCTGGAATGTTGAATCCGACGATGATAAATCAACAACCCGGATTTATGAACAGTATGGGTGCAGGTGCTTTCAATCCTTTTCCAAATCAAAGACAGCAACCTGGAATAAATGGGATGAATGGATTCACTAGGTTTAACCCAACAAATTCCAGAAATAGTAATGAAAATAATAACAGACCATCAGATGATAGAAGTTCATCAAATTCAGGGGGCGGAAATATCAATATTGGACTTGGTATTGGTGTTGGTTCTTCATCTCCAGTTGTGCCACCGAAACCTGCTTCTACAAAAACGCCTGCTCCTTCACAGTTCGGTGGTGTACAAAACGTTGCTCAAAATGTACAACCCACTCCGCCTAATCCTTTCCAACAAAGGTTCAATAATCAGCAGGGTGGAACGAATCCTTTTGATCCGATGAGTTTTCCAGGAATACCCCAAACTGGATTTCCTGGCAGTTCACAAACTGGCTTTTCTACAAACGATCAATCTGCTTTCCCATCCAATCAAATCAGTTTTCCTACAAATCCACAAACTGGCTTCCCATCAAACAATCAATTTCAGACAAATACAAACAACCCCTCTGCCCCCACTCTCCAAAGATTTGATCAACAGCCCCCTGCTCTTCCCGGATCTGTATCTACAAGCAACTCTATGCCTTGGAATACTTTTCCGACTAATGCTGGAAGCTTTGGACAAGATACAGGTTCTTTAGCAAACACTAATACCTTAATAAATAATAACCAAAATAATTTATTTGCTAACAATATGCAACGCTCAAATGTTAATGGCATGCAAAGACAAAGAAATTCACTTGAGCAAACTATTGGCATGGTCCAAGCAAATCAATTTAATACGATGCAACCTCAACAGTTTAATAATCTCACATCTAACCAGAATTTCGCGAATTCTCAATTGCTTAATTCTCAAACTTCAACAGGATCAATAGGCTCGGCTGTTGATGGTTTCGGCAGAGTGCAAAATCCCAGTTTTCTTCATAATGCTGGAAACGCAATCCAACAAGGATCATTAATGGGAGGTGATCCGACAATTGGTGAACCGATGATAATCGATAATGGTGGACGAACAACCGTTGTGGTGGATAATATAACATTTACGGGAGTCCTTCCACCAGGACCACCTGTAATAAGGACACAAGTGATAAATGGAAAAGGCTCAGTGCATTTAAATCCATTAGTTTCTTCTAGGGCAGCTACAGATTCATTTGGAAGAAATTTTCCAACACAACTGCAGTTCTCAAATCCAAATGACCTGAATTCAATAAATCAGAATTTCCCATTGAGTGCAGAAAATAACCAAATATTTCCTAATCAACAATTATTAGGAATACAGGCAACACAAGGTACTAAAAGTCCAGTTGAACCCCAAATGAACCAAGATACCTCTTTCGGGACTCCTACTTCAATATTTGTTAATACCTCGGGTCTCCTCAATCTCACCAAACCTCAAGGAAATGTCGACATGTCATTATTATCAAATAACTCTACTCTTTTAGCATCTAATGCAACTAACCAACAACAAATGATAGATATTTCGATACCCCTTAATACTAATCCCATATTAGCAACTAGCAATAATATAGGAACAGCATTGTCGGGGAGTAATGTAGGCATAGATTTGGGTAAAGGTACCTCCTCAAGCAACATTTTGCCGTCTGGAATCAACATAACTGGAATAGAAGGAACAGGACCAATTGATGCACATGGGCACGCAGGTGACCAAGTATTAGTTGACACAAGTTCCATTTCTGTGCAACCACATGCCTTTATGACTTCAACTCTCCCGAGTGTAGACTTGCAAGGTTTATCTACCACAAAGCCATCAAATATCATTGTGAATGAGCCGCAAATCCAAGTTGTTGATGGTATTCCCCAGGAATTTGGAACGTCTTCTACAATCGCTGGAAAAATTCCTAAAGAAATGTCTTCTACAGTTACTGGGGGTATTTCTGAAGGAATATCATTAACAAAAACTGGAAATATCCCCACAGAATTGTCTTCTACGATAACGGAAAACGTACCAATGAAACCTTCTTCAGCAATAAGTGGAAATATCCCTACTGGAATCTCGTCTTCACTAGTTGGAAATGTCACTGATCGTGTAGGTCAAATACAAGGTGATGTTCTGCAAGCAAAAGCTCCACAAGTAACTGATAATGTTCCATCTTCTGTAGAGCTTAATCCAATGCAAAATAATCAATTGTTAGAACTGCAACGCCAACAACAAATTCTACAGATGCATAGATTGGCACTTTTGAGAAGAAGAGAGGAACAGCTCAATACATTAAGAAAACAATTACTTCAAATCGAACTCACAGGTACTTTTTTCCATAATTTATTCATGAATTAATTTTTTTAAACATTCTAACTCAAAATAATGCTTGTGTACGCGATCTCAGTACAATGAAAACTTGTCATAATTATCCATTTTTTTCCAAGAAGAAAAATCTGATGATATGGAAAAATAAACAGTAAAAAATACAAGTTTTTCAAGATAATTATGACAATATCGATTAATAATCAAGGCGTTTGCAAATGTCACTATGAATATCTAATGTCATTGATATAAATCATAGAAAGATGTCTAAGAATAGACGGGCATGAAAACTACACGGAAGATGTAAAATGTCACGATTCGTGAATATGAATTGGTTAGTGACCCACATTACGATTGCTAAATGACTTTCGTACAATAAAAATGATATACACTACATTATTTACAGAAAACGTTAGACATCCCCCAATTCATAGGCAATAGTTTTGTATTTTCTGTCAGAAAATGGATAATCAGAAATTATTCATAAAACTTGCACGTCAATCGGATCATTAATGTAATGACATGCAAATACCTTACTTGTTGTTTTAAATAATAAACAAAAAGTAATGCACTGTCTTTCAGATTTTTTTCCTTTCTATTTCTTTTGTCTTTGTACTTCTGTCATCTGAAATGCATGAAAGGTAACTGAGAATTAAATTTGTTGAGCTGATTTTTTTTTTTTTTTTTTTTTTTTTTTGGGATGTCCTATAAGATTTCTGTACCTTATCATTTAATATGTAATTCACTATTAGAAATTACGAAGGCAGATAATTTATATACATGTACTAATTTCAAAGACAGATTTCTGTCTTTTCTTGCTTTTGTCATCTTTTCATGCAATCTCAGAGAAACAACATTAATGTCAAATACATTAAATAATTATAGGCAACAAGAGACAACCAGTGCAACGAAACCCTTTGACTCCAGTGAAGACGAAAGACATGAGGATTTTAGAGAACATCAAACCAGCAGCTACGGCACCGAAGACCACTGCATCATCAACAGTCGCCTTTATGAATGTGGATTCATTAAGATCTCTCATAGAAGAAATTCTTCATGGTTTCTTCAAGAAGCAAAATATTCTTGCGGGATTAAGTGTTCCCTCTAGTGGTAGTACATCTATTGTTGACATATCCAAAAGCAGTCCACCGAACCCAAACAAAGTACCAAGAATGGATCCAAACTCTTTACAACTGAATGTTGTTCCAGGTAAGATTTTGAAACTTTTATCTGTTTTTGTGTCCAGTTTATGAATTTTTGATGCAGAAGTACATGTTTAAGGACAATTTCTGCTAACATTAAAAGTACATGTTAAGGACAATTTCTGCTGACATCAAAAGTCTTTACGAGTGAAATTTATTCTTTCTGGATATAAATGTATATCTTATTTTGCAATCCCGGTTGTAGCGCAAAATTAAAGTCCCCTTATGATTACATTTAAATAAGTTTTGATGAATTCACTGATATATTGTTACTTAGTTTTACATGAGAACCATCAGGTAGGTTGCGATAAATGTAATGTCATTTACAAAATATTACTAGTATCTACTCTATTTAATTAGATGCAGTACGTTGAGTATTTATATGTATGTTGCATGATTTTGTTCATTGCCTTTAATCAAATATATGCCATTCATGTTAACATCAGATTATATTTAAGTAGTACAACTTGAACTCCTATAATCAGATTTATAAAATTCAAGTATGTCACATATTACAGTTCAAAAAAGTACTTCTCAACCAGGAATACAACCAACAACTCCAAACAATGTTAAGAACATTGACCCAACAGTCAGTATGGTGGATCCAAATGTAGTACCTTTAACAGAAGCTATTGGAGTGGATCCAAATGCAGCACCTCCAACAGAACCTACCGCGGTAGACCCGAATGCAGTACCTCCAACTGAACCTACCGTGGTGGATCCAAATGCAGCACCCCCGATAGAACCAATTGTAGTGGATCCAAATGCAGCACCTCCAATAGAACCAATTGTAGTGGATCCAAATGCAGCACCTCCAATAGAACCTATTGTGGTGGATCCAAATGTAGTACCTCCTGCAGAACCCACATCCCCACCAGCAACAGATTCAAATACAATTCTTGTGACTGAGCCAAGTGTGCATGCGCATAGTGATATTGTAACAGTGTCTGACTCTTCTGCAACAAATATGCAGGTTACTGAATCGTTTTCAACAATTTTACCTACTACAACTACAGTATTGCCTCCAGTGACATCTCCTATTATAATAGATAGTGTTGGTAACAGCGTGGGTCAACCAAGTCTTTCCGGGCAAAAACGAAATTTATTTCCAGGAGGAATCGCTGTACATCCGGAAATTTCTTCATTTCGAACGCCCAATCTGGCAAATTTTCAACAATCAGCGCCTCCACAACCTCAGTGGAATTTCAATCTTCCTCATCGTGGAGTACATCTGCAGGGAAGAACACGGGGCGGTGTTTCCAGCATTCCTGAAATGATCGGAGGGGATCTTTCAAGTACCAATGCCAGAGTTATTGCTCAACAAAACAGACCCATACATAATTCAAATTTTAATTTGCAATTTAATCGCCGTCTCCAGGACGTAGGTAAATAACATTTTATGAATTCCAGTAATTTATATCAAGTAGTACATTTTTAAGATAAAATTGGAAAAAAAAGATGATAAAAGCACAGCAAGTGCCAATGATTTTTTCGGATCATCACGAATGGGTGCTAATATTTGACATATTATGATTATTGGCAGTAAAGAATTAAAATGGACACAAGAGCAGTGGTATGTAAATACCTTGAGAGATCAAGGATGAATGTTAACAATTTTTGGGATTTTCTTTCGCTCATAGATGCTTCACTCACAAAACTTACGGCGGTAATTTTATTGTCTTGTTTTCGTTCTTTTTAGGATAGGAGAAAAGCTTTACATCTTTGTTTAAAAGAGAGTGTGTATCTTCAAATTGAAGTATTTGAAAAACAAGACAAAAAACAAGCTATTATTAAGTTGCAGTGAAGATATTAGATTATATATTGGTCTGCTAGCACCATATAAGTTTACATTTGAGTTTTTTTTCCGGATAAAGCCTTTAAACTTTATTATTCTATTATTCCAGTGTTTGACTAAGGGAAACAGGTAAATCCCCTCCTGGAATCACCTTAAAGGACTTTAATGCAAATTTAGATTTTGGTCACATGATTTTTTTCCTTATATGTGTTTTACCCGAAACCTTGTAGACAGCTTCTCCAATCCCGTGTTCGTGTACTATGTGTTTTTTATGGTTCATTGTATTATTTGCATATTAAAAACCAACAATGTATTGTACCTGTAGTTGCCTGTAGCTCATAGTAAACTAACATATTAATCAAGAGTTCACTTTTTATAAGGAATGTAAAACATTCTCATTTTTAAAAAATATCCATTTGTATGATAAATAAATAGAAAATGATATTGAATTAATATCATGTAAATCTTAACACATTTAATCAATGCAAATGTTTTTGTTTTTGCGACACGTGTGCTAAGATTTTATTTGTCACATTATATTGTTGGATGAATAAAGTTGAAATGATGTGGCAAACCATATATATAATATATTTCTTTTTTTTTTATTTATAGCAATGAGATCAAATGTTAACATACCTCTTGGACGTCCAGGAGGAGTTCCGGTCCCAATGCTGTAGTGACGTCACAGACACTACTTTCATTCTTGAAATGATACAAAGAAGAAATGACGTACGGCAAACAACAAAGAAAACGTCTCTAAATAATTGCCAGTAAACCTGATGTTACTCTCCTGGGTGCACGTCAGCAGCACCTGCTCCAGGTTCCTAGAAGTGTACAAGTGACGAAATATGCGAATTCCCTTTCCAGTGAATGGACCATAAAAGTGGGACGTTAAATTTAGATTCAATATTTCACAACTTTAATTTTTCATTTGTTTCCAAACATTACAAAAAAAGCTTTATTAGGGGCATTCTTACGTTCACCTTAATCAATTCATTCATCAAGTCATTTCCGGTCCCACCGTGAAAAATCTTGTCATGTCTCGAGCGATCGAGGCGCGGACAACGAAGAGCTACAGGAGACATTATTATAAATGTATATACAATGTATATAAAAATCTCAGTATCATATACTTTGGAATCACATGACTATGATATCCCATTACATTAAAATGAATGAAAGAGTAAAAATGAGATATAAACTGTGTTAGCATGCAAATATTTCACCATGTGAATATAGCAATCATTTGAAGTGGTTCAAGATACTTGTAATTATAATGTCCTTTCATGAAAATAAAATAAAAACGAAAATTATTTATTGAGTTGTTTCAATGCCTGTGCCTCAAATTAAAATATTGAGTTAGTTTACCTGAAATGTGACATACGTGTATTTACATACTTGTATCACATTGTGAATTACAAGGAAATAATCTACTAGTAATATAGTTAACCCTAAAAGGATCTGTCATCTATGTGTATGATGTCTGCCTGTCTGTTTTGTACTTTCAAAAATGATGTTCCGGTGAGCAAATTTTGAAGACGATTTCACTGAAAAGCGTGTTTAATAAGGATCGCTTCTCGGTTTTCTCAGGCTTGGCTTAATGTACATGTGACATTGAAATAAACTTTATAAATGCCCGTGTTTCTAATGAAATTTTAAAATTCATTTCTGAAAAAACGGAAATAAAAAAGACAAACATAACAAAATTAAAGTTGAAATAACAATTTTAAACTGCTTCCGCCAACAAATGTTTCAAATGCTCGAAATGCCTTATTTTGTCTCAGAATCGGAAAATGTAACTGAGGTCATCAGCATTTAAACAACTTTATTAGGATAATAAAGCAATAAATAAATTTCTTAATAATATTTCACAACAGATTGTTCACTTTATTGAATATCAGATTTACAGAAAACCGGCGCCGTTTGGAATATTTTTTGTGTTGTTTGTAACTTAAAATTTTCTTTTAAGAATGATACTACTCTATAAATGACATAAGATTGAAGGCTTTCGTTCAATTTTTCAGTTGTGAAGTTATCACATTTACAAGGTAAGATTTTTTTTAATGATAATGAATGTCAATGTTATCATTTGACATTAACATGACGAAAAATTATCTCAATATTAAGTGACATTGTCTTTTACATCTTCTATAGATAAAAAAGAATTTTAGTAAATTAACATTGAAAGCTTAACAAATCTTATATCGATTAAGCGCAGAAACTGTTCAACCTCTTCAACTCTTTCAAGCATTCCCAATGGCTTTATAAAATATAACTGGCTATCAAGATTACAGTAATTGCAGAATGATATCTGCCACATGCCTTTTAACCATGGAACATATTTTCTCCAGAGTTTGAGAGATAAAATTCTGCTAATTAGAACATTCTTATAAAATTCTATAAACATGTTAAGTTTGACTTTTTCATTAGTTAAGTACAAATCAGTATAAATCTCACTAAATTATTGGTGTTTTTTAAAAGCATGGTACTAATATTTGCATACTGAAGCTCGAAGGCTTCACAAATGACCTATCACATAATAATCACATAATATTAACACATAAAAGGGAGGCACATTTTTGCAATTAACACATATAAAATAAATATCATATAATAATTACAATACAGATTGTCTTAGTGATCAACATAACACCTAGCTATGACCATCCAAATAATTAGTAACATGCTTACAACAAATGGAACCAGAGGGTTTTTATTTATAACAAAGGAAGCGAAAGGTAGCACTTTGACTTGAAACTTGACAACAGCAATAAACAGAGTAGGTCTCTTTGTGTGGCAAGTCTTTTTGCAATTGGATTAAAACTCTAAGAGTAGCCTTTTGAAAGAATTTCAATTTCTATTTTAATTTCTATCAATAGTGATTATGGCAACACTTTTCATCAAAATCAATGAACAGAATTTTATATCTCAGTGTAGTCTAATTGTGTAAAAAGTTTAAATGAAATCAAACCAAACGTAGCTGTAGGAAGAGTAGCATTTTGAAACAATTTCAAAGAAATTTCTTAGTGTAGTCTACTACTTTAAAAGAGTAAAAGATTACATTGAAAAAAGACTAATATTGTACGAGTAAGGTTATGAAGAATTTAAAAGTGATTTCTATTTTAAGTACCGTTCACGGTAGCTCAGTTGGTAGAGCGCTCGCTCCGTGATCGGGAGGTCGTGAGTTCGAATCTCGGCCGCGACTGACCTAAGTCGATAAAAAATGGGTAGCAACTGTTCCTTCGCCATGCGCTCGGCACTTTGAATGAAGTGAAAGTTGCGGGTCCTTCGGATGAGACCTTAAAAACCGAGGCCCCGTGTCACGGCAGACGTTGGCACGATAAAGAACTCTAACTGCTCAATGGCCTGAGTGCCGAGTAAAGGTCAAAATTTGAAGCCCTTCACCGGTATATGGTGACGTCTCTATATGAGTGAAAAATTCTCGAATGGGACGTAAAACAGCATACAATCAATCAATCAATCTATTTTAAGTAACCATCGAAACACCGATAATTAAAACAAAAAAAATCAATACAAAGAATTATGTACTGTCATATAGTCTACTTGTTTAGAAACTGAAAATTACACCAAATCTGCAGAAATAGAGTTTTGATAGAATTTCATAGAAATATCCTTTTTAAAGAACCATCGAAGCACCATTCATCGAAATCAAAAACCGATACACAGATCTAGAATTATGTACCTAAGGGTAGTCAACTGGTGTAAAACGATTCATTCAAATCAGACCAAAAAATTTTTTTTAAAGAATTTCACATATTTTCTAGTTTAAATAACGATGGCAACACCGCTCAATAAAATAAAAACCGATACCCGGAATTATGTATCTAAGTGTAATATACTTTTTGAAATCGGACCAAAAACTGCATGTAAGAGGAGTAGTTTACAGATAAACAGACAGACAGATAGATGGACACATTATTATCGCATAAACTCTCCTGATCTTTGACCAGTAGACTAAAAATCATCACTCGATGCTCAAAATGTAGAATACGGAGTTAGCACAAATGCTACATATTTTAGCATGAGTTGATTTTGATTGTAATTGTTTTTTTCAATACTGATGATATGCATATCACATCAATCGTACTTTTCATTATAATTCGCCCTCCCTAGATCCTGAAGTGTATACAGAAATATCTGACACCTTTGGTTGTAACTAAATAAAAAAAAAACCCACTTGATAATAGATGGGTATTTACCCTGAGATAGAGTGTTGTTTTTTATGAGTTGAATGTAGCGTGTTCCCCGTCACGGTCTGCGATGGATTGTTAAGATAACCTTGGCAAGTTTATTAGCTGATGGTTTACGATGGTCGTCTATAAGTAAACGTACACAATCTTACTTACAAAGATAAACAGGGGTGACTTCAAGATATTCATATGTTATTTAATGCAAAAGATGTCCGTCGCTGATAAGCAATAAATTGTTTTTTAAGACAGGAGATATAGTAACTATATATTTTCGAAATAAGCGTACCACCTCTCCAACGAAATATGTGTATCGCTCAAAAAAGTGGAAAACGGTACTTTAACCAAACGGAAATGTGAAGCAGATCATTGCAATGGATTGTTTGTATTTTTTTTTCAAGTAAAGCAATAATCCAATGTAGATCACAATATCTTTTATCCTAGATTTGTTAGCATAAAACATCAGTGGTGTGAACTTAAGATGTTGGGAAAAGAGGATTAGGATGGGGGAACTGAAGAGAAGAGACAAGAGAATGAAGAGACAAATGAATGTCGTATTGTGGACTACACGATCAAAACAACTTTTTAGTATAAAATCAGTATTAAGGACAGATGCTAGAAACAAACTTTTTTTCTTCAAAAATGATGATATAAAGAACTGAGTATATGTTTATTTAAGTAAAATGAATAAGTTTAGCCACAAAATTTTCTATTTTCATTCAATCCTCTTCAGTAACATCCTAAAGAGTGATTTTAAAAAAAAAATCTATATATTTATAAGGGTTACGGTAAAAAGGCAGAAATTTGTACATCATAGATAGTCTATTATTTCTATATATTTTAGAAATTTGATATACTGTATATGCATCATTTACAATCAAAACAGGTCTTGAAATATGTACCGATCCATGCTCCCAATTTTTTGCTTGCAGCATGTCCTTAGTCAAAACCATTGCTTAAATTATGTTTTCCGATGTTTCTTTTGCATTTCCTGACAAAATGCTCATTACTTAAAAAGACAATTTGGACCCTCATAAATTGCAGCGGTTTAGCATTAGAACTTATCTTTATTATTTTTAATTCGGATAAAGTGTGAAGCCTGCAGTGGAACAAGACAATTAAATTTAATTCTAAATTCTCAACAAGAACTCATTAACCGTATTTTCGAAGGGATGTTATTTTTGCTTTATAATAAAAATAATAATAATGCAAACATTTCACGATTTCATGGATATAAAGTGAAAACTTCAGGAAGATGATCGCCATTGAGAATGTATTAATAACTTGAGTACAGGACACCAATGAGAATGTTATCTGTTAACACATGCGGGTCACCATTGAGAATGTTAACTGTTAATACAGATTACATGTACTACGAGGGGTGATCAAAAAGTTCGCAAACTAAATGAATTACTTCCTTAAAAGAAATAAAATGAGGTTTTATTGTTCATTATTTATTAAAATAGCCCTCTCCGATTTTAATGCACATCTGCCATTG